TATATATATTGTCTCTGTATCCATTAAATACCTAAACAATAGACAAGAACAAGATAACTTAAATCATAACCTTATACCAAGAAGCAACAAGAAAACAATACAAACATAATATAACATTGTGCTCGTGTATTTACAAGAGAATAATGTAGCACAAGATCATGAAAGTATCTCCAATTCCAATAAATGAATAAAAAAGACTAGTCCTAGTAATAAATTCGACCACCATTAGCCAGACCAAACAATTTTGATTGTAACTTCCTGCATCGCAAAATTATATATATATTGATATCAAAGTTAAGTCATTCATCACATATTATAAACAAGATATAAAAGAAAATATAATAGGAGTATAACAAAATACATACCTGTTAAGTAGGAAGAGAATGCATATGTATCTGCCAGAATTACAAAATCAAAAGAAACATTTCAATCACTATCTATTAATTATATTTCTTAACAAATTTAAAATTTAACACAACCATAACAACAAACGAATCGACACTAGTAGAGTTTTTATCTTACACACCTCTGAATAACATATTTTGCCCATTCTTCTCGAACTTCATCTACTTGCTCCTCAGATAATTGAACGCACTTGTAATTAGGATAGTACTACAAAATATAACATTAATAATTATATATTGACCAAAATATCAAAAAATAATGAGGTAATGGAATGACATGAAAATGATCTTAAATTCATTTACCTCATCTGGGATTATCATTTCATCTGAAATAATTATGTCTTTAATAAATTTCAAAACGTAATACCCACAATCCACACTGTTAGCTTGTTTGGGACACTGAAAGAAACAAGTATTTGTTAGTACGAACATATATAGATCAACATCAACAACAAATAACATGTTGAAGTACCTTAATATTTTTCCATCTTAAGTGTAATTTTGATTTTTTGGAGACCACCCCGATTTGAGCCCGAAAAACTCGTAATACGCTAGTAAAAACAAAAAGACCATAGAGTTACTAGAAAAACAACAAAAAACAAACACACCACAACAACCACATATACATACATGTTAAACACATCTGTCATATGTGGATCAGGATCCTTGTGCATAGGATCTAAATGATATATCGTCTCTGCCTTCAAATTAATAGCCAACAACACCCAGTGGACCCTATAAA